TGAATGTCACTTTTAAAATTTCCCGCCATTTCCATCCCCGTATGTCTTGACGTCGCAGGGAACGGAACCCAGAAGACAGATGCCGGCATCGGCCGGAGGACATTGCTGGGGACACTGCAGGGGGGACATCGCGGGAGCGCAGGACAAGGTAAGTGAAGAACAGATCCCGGAGCAACGTTGCAGTGTATTCCTGAGTGTAGCTCGGGGTTACTGCTTGTGATGCTGAAACTTTACCCGAGCTACACTCGAGAATACCACCAGGGGGGGTTAATGCATTTAGGCATCTAGACATGGTGAAGACGACATGCTGAAGTTCAAACCGAGCATCAGAATGGAGAAGAAAGGGGATTTAAGTGACTTTGAACATGGCATGGTTGTTGGTGCCAGAATATTTCGAAAACTGCTGATCTGCTGGGATTTTCATGCACAACCATCTGTAGGGTTTACAGAGAATGGTCCGAAAAAGAGAAAATATCCAGTGAGAGGCAGTTGTGTGGACGGAAATGCCTTGTTGATGTCAGAGGTCAGAGGAGAATGGACAGCATGGCTGGGTCTAGGGGGTGCTGAAGTGGGCTATGCCACCCCAGATTTTAGTTGTGCCCCCAAACCCCCTCCCCCCCCCCCAAAGCCAACCTTAGCCTACCACTATACTACCCTAACCTTCCACTATGCTACCCTAAATTGACATAATACCACCCTAATCTGATACTTTACTGCCCTAGCTTGACACTATACTGTCCTTGATTATGCATTCTGTGGGGAAGAGGAGCTCTGTTGCCTGTGCCCAGGCTGTGTGCAGTGCAGGGATGGGAGAAGGAGCTGTGCCTCTGTTCTCTGCCCAGCCAGTAGTGACCCCTGTCGCCTGCCCTGCTGATCTCCCATCCTCTTCCCCCCTGACATTTTTTACTGCACCTCCACATCGGACAGGCTAGATTTGGTATAGATGGCCAGACTGGTTCGAGAGGATAAAAAGGCAACAGTAACTCAAATATCCACTCGTTACAACTAAGGTATGCCGAATACCATCTCTGAATGCACAACACGTTGAACCTTGAAGCAGATGGGCTACAGCAGCAGAAGACCACACAGGGTGACACTCCTGTCAGCTAAGAACAGGAAACAGAGGCTACAAAACGTTGCCTGGTATGATGAGTCTGGATTTCAGCTGCAACATTCAGATGGCAGGGGCAGGATTTGGCATAAACAACATGAAAGCATGGATCCATCCTGCCTTGTATCAATGGTTCAGGCTGGTGGTGGTGTCATGATGTGGGGGATATAGATGTACCTAATAAAATGGCCGTATATGCCCAGGCAAGATACTCGGCAAAAGAGAATGGGCTTTTGAAAAAAAATTCTACTCACCTAGGTGGATGGAAAATCAATTTAATGCTGCGTCTGTCCTTTGCTGGCTCTGCACAAAGAACTAAGCAATCAAACCCGACTGATCGCTCAGTTCTCCCCTCTGCTCTGAGCAGGGAGTCTCCAGCTCTCTGTTCTTCCCCTCCAGTGCTCAATGGAGCCCTGGGCTGTGGAGGGGGCGGGAGTGGCAGGCTCAGGGGCCTGGGCTGATCACTCAGTTGGAATTTAGCTTCGATTTGCTTCGACCACCTCCCCCTCCCTCCCCCTCTCTGTTGGGGTCCCCCAAGGCTCTGTCCTTGGACCCCTTCTCTTCTCCATCTACACCTCCTCCCTGGGCACACTCATACACTCCCATGGCTTCAATTATCACCTCTATGCTGACGACACCCAAATCTACCTCTCCACCCCTCTCCTCACCCCCACTATCTCCGCCCGCATCACTCACCTCCTAAACGACATCTCAGACTGGATGTCGCTCCATTTCCTCAAGCTTAACCTCTCCAAAACCGAACTCCTCGTCTTTCCCCCTGCCTACACCCCCCCCCCCCCCCAGCCTATCCATCACCACCACCAACACCACTATCATTCCCGCCCCGCAAGCCAAAGTCCTTGGCGTCATTCTTGACTCGAACCTCTCCTTCCTCCCTCATGTCAAATCACTTACAAACACATGCAGGCTCCATCTCCGCAATATTGCCAAGATACGTACCTTCCTCACCCCAGACACCACCAAACTTCTTGTACACTCCCTCATCATCTCACGCCTTGACTATTGCAACTCTCTTCTCACTGGCCTACCCAAGTGCAGGCTCTCCCGCTCCAGACCATCCTGAACTCAGCGGCCAGACTCATCCACCTCACCACCCGCTCCACCTCTGCCACCCCCCTCTGCCTATCCCTCCACTGGCTTGCCCAACGCATCAAATTTAAACTTCTAATCCTGACCTACAAAGCCGTTCACAACACTGCCCCTGACTACCTCACCAACTTGATCCCCAAGTACCACCCTACCCGTACCCTTCGCTCCTCACAGGACCTCCTTCTATCCTGCTCCCTGGTCTCCTCCTCCCATGCACGACTGCAGGACTTCTCCAGGTCCTCCCCTATCCTCTGGAACTCACTGCCCCAATCCATCCGACTGTCGCCTTCCCTCCCCACATTCAGGCGCTCCCTCAAAACCCATCTCTTCAGGGAAGCCTACCCCACCCTCACCTAACGGCCATTCTCCCTCATTCCTCCCACCACTTCATCCCCCTCAGCCACTTCATTCCCCTCAGCCACTTCCTATTGTTCCACTACCCCCTCCCTCCTAGATTGTAAGCTTGAAAGAGTAGGGCCCTCTTACCCCTCGTACGCTGTCTGTTTTTGTTGTACTGTGCCATGTATTGCCCCCCTATTGTACAGCGCTGAGCAAACCCTTTGGCGCTATATAAACTCGATGTAATAAAAATAAATAAATAAATAGATTTGTTAGTCTCCCTCCTTTCCTGCCAGGGTGCATGCTTGGATAAGGGTCTAGTATGGATTTTGGGGTTTTTTTTTTTTTTGGCATGGGGGTTCCCCTCAAAATCCATACCAGAGCTGAAGGGCTTGGTATGGATGGAAGGGTACCACACATGTTTTTTTTTCTTTAATTGCAGGGCAATGCTTTTTACTTTCAGCTGTTTTAGTAGCTTTGCGGTATCTGATTGTACACTCAGATGCAGTAAGATACTGCTTAGTGAATTGTCCCCTCTGTACGAAGTTCACAGTCAAACTTTCGTTATGTTCGAATGTTCGACCGCGAACTGAACGGGGGGTGTTCGTCCACCATTATTGACAATTAAAACTCAGTCCAGGGGATGTCTTTTTAGGATATATGGCTGAAGAACTTTAACAGGAGAGAGGTGTAGGGTCGTGGGATACTTCAAAACTAGCAGCAACGACAGCAGAAGTACGATCTTCTCTCTAGTCTCTCAGTAGGAGCTTCTCTGAAGGTAGCTGGGGGATGGTCGGCATATCTGAGGTCCCATAGCTATAGACTATGGAGAAGCCACTAGAAACTGGTTCCCTTTTGCTTCTACACCACTAACTGTCCCCAGTAAGGTCTTTACTCACAGTGTCCCAGGTGCTGTCTACCACCATTCTCCACGGGTAGATCCTTAATGAGGGAAACGGCAAAGTCCTCCTTGGGATCTGGACTCTGTGTCCTCCAGCAGATCTCCCCTTTTTCAGCTGTCTTCCTCAAGCCCTTAACATAGCAAATAGCAAACAGTAGTCTCTTGCCTTAGTAATACTTCTCCAAGGGGCAACAGCCCCTGGAGTATCGGAACCCGTCCTGATGAGGACAGGACAATCTGCTCAGTCCTCCTGTCTATTTATCACCTCTCCAGCCACCTTCTGGATACCTCCTTCCAGGGATTGGTATGATAAATATTTAGCTGATCATTTGAATTTCCTTTCCTATGCTCTGGAAGTTTCTTCCTGAGCAATAAAACTCACTGAGCAGACCAAAACAAACAGGAACCACTCCACTCACTACAGTGGCTCCAAAAACTACATTTGCCTAACAGCCTAAGTGGGAGGGCACCAAACTTATGAAGAAAGTTGGCAGTTTTAGATACAGTGAATGTAGTTTCAAATGGAAAAGGTTAGGATCAATTTAAAGTGTTACTAAACCGACAAAAGTCAAATCAGTCTGTAGATACAGTAAAGCATGCTTGTTATACTCACTGTGGAACCTAAAGGGGTTAATCCTCCACATTGTGTAAAAATGCTGTTTGATCCTGTCTTCTCTGATCCTCCCCTTCTTCCAGTGCCCCCCTCTCATCTCCTGATGAGACATATTGTGTGGAGTCACTATGCACATGCTCAGTGGTGTGTATTGCTAGAGAGGTTTTTTTTTCTTGGAAGAGTGCATGTGATCAGCACAGGGCCAATCAGCACTGTCCAGACAGAGGTCAGGGGTTCTGTATCCTCCTGGAGCAAAATGAAAACTCTTCCTACAAGCTTTAACCAGTGCTCTGCTGGACACTGATAGAAGTCACAAGACTGCTCTATACTGCTGATGAGAAAAGGTATTTAGCAGTTTATATTTACTAAAATAATTGCATTTTCATGTTGTGTGTACTGTGGGAGACCAGATATAGTGAATGCAGGGTCCGGGGAGAGCGGATATAGTGAATGCAGTGTCCGGGGAGACCAGATATAGTGAATGCAGGGTCCAGGGAGAGTGTATATAGTGAATGCAGGGTCCGGGGAGACCGGATATAGTGAATACAGGGTCCGGGGAGACCAGATATAGGGAATGTAGGGTCCGGGGACACCAGATATAGTGAATGCAGGTTCCGGGGAGACCAGATATAGTGAATGCAGGGTCCGAAGACACCAGATATAGTGAATACAGGGTCCGGAGAGACCGGATATAGTGAATACGGGGTCCAGGGAGACCAGATATAGTGAAAGCAGGGTTCAAGGAGACCACATATAGTGAATGTAGGGTCTGAGGAGACCGGATATAGTGAATGCAGGGTCCGGGGAGACTGGATATAGTGAATGCAGGGCCCGGGAGACCGGATATAGTGAATGCAGGGTACGGGGAGACTGGATATAGTGAATACAGGGTCCAGGGACACCAGATATAGTGAATGCAGGGTCTGGGGACACCAAATATCGTGAATGCAGGGTCCGAAGACACCAGATATAGTGAATGCAGGGTCCGGGGAGACCGGATATAGTGAATGCAGAGTCCGGGGAGACCGGATATAGTGAATGCAGAGTCCAGGGAGACCGGATATAGTGAATTCAGGGTCCAGGAAGACCATATATAGTGAATGCAGGGTCCGGGAGACCAGATATAGTGAATGCAGGGTGCTGGGAGACCGGATGTAGCGAATGCAGGGTCCAGGGAGACCAGATATAGTGAATGCGGGGTCCGGGGAGACCGGATATAGTGAATGCAGGGTCTGGGGAGACCGGATATAGTGAATGCAGGGTCCCGGGGGGAGCGGATATAGTGAGTGCAGGGTCCGGGGAGAGCGAATATAGTGAATGCAAGGTCCGGGGAGACAGGGTGTATTGAATGCAGGGTCCAAGGAGACCAGATGTAGTGAATGCAGGGTCCGGGGAGACCAGATGTAGTGAATGCAGGGTCCGGGGAGATCGGGTGTAGTGAATGCGGGGGCGGGGAGAGCGGATATAGTGAATGCAGTGTCTTGGGTTTAGTAACACTTTAAGAGACTATACTTTAATTCTAGACGTGTGCAGAATGGAAAAATTTGTTTAGTTTTGATTTGTTATTTAAATAATTTAATTTCAATAAATTTGTTTATTTCATTTAATTCATTTTAGGTATTTGTTTTGTTTCCTTTTTGTTTTCAAATTCACTTTGACTCGAATTCAATTCAAAAGGAATTCTGAAAATGTTAATCGGCGTTCACATTCTAATTGGCATTCGAATTCAAATGTATTCTATTGGAATTTCGGAAGATGGTAGATGACAACAATTGCATAAACATAAAATAATCGTGCATCCACACAACAAAACATGAACAGGTATATAAAATAAAAATGAGTACAAATGAAACCAAAAGCACCAAAAAAGTACTTTCAAAGTGTCCAATAGTCCAGTGATTATAAATCATTCATCAAATAATTTTTTAGACAGTGAATCCAAACATCAAATGTCCAGATAAGGAAAAACACCAACCATCCACCAGTGAAGCGAATACGCCTTGGAATAAATCGATAACCACCTTGTGTCCTCCACCACAAATTAAATAGCTTCTTACCAGATCACATTGATTCCTTGTAATAAAGAGATCAATACAGCATGTTAATATCAGGTCACTCCAGGGACTCTGTGGTATTCCAGAGCATGCTGCCCACTATTATTATCATCTCATTGACTCAAAGAATCAGCATACCAGGCCAGAAATCATCATCATTTAAAAAAAAAAAAAAGAAACATTAAAACCGCTAAACCAACATTTATTAAAAATGAGACCAGTACTTACAAAATTAGGGTAATGACAGCACATAAATAGAATGCTGCGCCACCAACCATTCGACGGGCATGATGACGTCACTAGTCAAGCTCTTTCCAATGTGTTTCGTCATCAACCAGCATCGTCAGAGGAACGGAAGTAGCAAATGATGATGATACCTGGCCTGGTGTGCTTATTCTTGGAGTCGATGAGATATAACAGTGGGTAACGTGCAGCTTATAAACCAGGAAACAAATATAGAAAGGTGGTAGGTTATTTCCATGGAGGGTCCTGTACAGGAGCGGACTGACAACTCATGGGGCCTCCGGGCAATAGGGGATCATGGGGCCCCTGTGTCCTTGCCCAAACTAAAAAAAAGCCTATGAAAAAGGTTCCAGGGGCATCTCATGGGGCCCCGTACTGAGCCCCCACCGGCCCTCGGTCAGTGCCCAATTTTCCAAATGGTCAGTCCGCCCCTGGTCTTGTAGCATGAGAATGAAACCATACCGAAAAAAAAGGAGGGGAAGAAGCAGGGGTGGACTGAGAACTCATGGGGCCCCTGGGCAATAGGGGATCATGGGGCCCCCATGTCCTTGCCCAAACTCAAAAAAGCCTATGAAAAAGGTACCAGGGGCATCTCATGGGGCCCCCTACTGATCCCGGGCCCTCGGGCAGTGCCCGAGTTTCCAAATGGTCAGTCCGCCCCTGGGAAGAAGATACCTTCATTGAATCAGAACTGGTGCTCTACACCCTAAACGAACATAACCTCAAAGGTCACCGTGGCTGGTGGCTCTTCAGTTGGGAGGGCTGTCTGGGACCTGATTGGTAGTGTGCAACCATTGCGTATCAAATAATGACATAATAGGGCGGTGGGGAGGGGAGATTTAACTTCCCTCGCTCCTGGGGGTCAACATCTCTAAGCCGTCTAAAAGAGTGGAAAATGGCCAACGATGGCTAAGACGGGTCTCCATGGTCTCCAATTCTCTTCAAATATCTCTTCAGTGTTCTGTAAGGTGGAGGAAATTTTCTCCATATGGGGGATATCCTTAGCTTTGGAATACCATAACGACCTGTTCGGCGGTTGCGGTTGCTTCCATAGTAAAGCGATACAGGCTCTCGCTGTGTTCATTGCTGAGGTTTTTAACCCATTTCTTACTCTATAAAAAAAAACTTGGCTATACATACACTGAGAAAAATTAGTGATTGGCCTTATTATGTATTTTTTCTGTTTATCCTGTGTCACCACTGCTCACGTTCTTCAGCCACAATTACAGAAGAAAAAGCCTCTCTCCTTCTAATAATGTTTCTTTAATGCATAGTAAATGCATGCATATATGTTGTAAATAACTTCTATCGATTTTACAGTGCTCTCCAGAGGGATGCTAGCTCCTGCTTTAAGAAAAATCCATAAGGGTTTTTGACAAAGATGAAGTAGACCGAACAGGAGAAAAGAAACCCTAGAGAAGGCCCCTTTTTAATGGCTCACCTCATGTATAGTATTTAGTCTTAATGACTGTTACAGTATCTGGTTTAACTACAGCTGATATACAATCTTAAACAGAGTGACAGCAGGCATGTAAAATAATCTATCATTCGTCTTTACTCAAATGTGACACCATAGTGCTGAGCAAATGGGATGATTAATGGACGAGAACGCAGAAAAACACAACAAGGGCAAGACTGATATTAGTATTTATTAATATTGATATCTTCAAATTGGAATTGCTAAAATTAGAAAATGTAAATAATAATGAAAAAAAAAAAAAATATATTACAGTCATGGCCGAAATTGTTGGCACCCTTGATATTTTTCCTGAAAATCAAGTATTTCACACAAAAAAGGTATTGCAGGATAACACATGTTTTGCTATACACATGTTTATTCCCTTGTATGTATTGGAACAAATATAAAACAGAGGCAGAAAAGCAAATATGACATAATGTCACACAAAACCCAAAAATGGGCTGGACAAAGTATTGGCACCTTAACTTAAATTTGGTTGCACACCCTTTGGAAAACATAACTGAAATCAGTCGCTTCCTATAACCATCAATAAGCTTCTGACACCTCTCACCCGGAATTTTGGACCACTCTTCCTTTGCAAACAGCTCCAGGTCTCTCTTTATTGGAAGGACACCCTTTTTCCAACAGCAATTTTAAGATCTCTCCACAGGTGTTCAATGGGATTTAGATCTGGGCTCATTGCTGGCCACTTCAGAACTCTCCAGCGCTTCTTTGCCATCCATTTCTGAGTGCTTTTTGACGTATGTTTGGGGGTCATTGTCCTGCTGGAAGACCAGGATCTTGGACGCAAACCCAGCTTTCTGACACTGGGCCCTACAGTGCGACCAAAAATCCTTTGGTAATCCTCAGATTTCATGATGCCTTGCACACAGTCAAGGCACCCAGTGCCAGAGGCAGCAAAACAACCCCAAAACATCATTGAACCTCCACCATATTTTACCGTAGGTACTGTGTTTTGTTCTTTGTAGGCCTCATTCCGTTTTCGGTAAACAGTAGAATGATGTGCTTTACCGAAAAAATCTCTATCTTGGTCTCATCTGTCCACAAAGACGTTTTCCCAGAAGGCTTTTGGCTTACTCAAGTACATTTGGCAAACTGTAGTCTTGCTTTTTTATGTCTCTGTGTCAGCAGTGGGGTCCTCCTGGGTCTCCTGCCATAGCGTTTCATTTCATTTAAATGTCGACGGGATAGTTCGCGCTGACACTGATGCTCCCTGAGCCTGCAGGACAGCTTGAATGTCTTTGGAACATGTTTGGGGCTGCTTATCCACCATCCGGGACTATTCTGCGTTGCAATCTTTCATCAATTTTCCTCATCCGTCCACGACCAGGGAGATTAGCTACAGTGCCATGGGTTGCAAACTTCTTGATAATGTTGCGCACTGTGGACAAAGGCAAATCTAGTTCTCTGGAGATGGACTTGTAACCTTGTAGATTGTTGATATTTTGCCACAAATTTTGGTTCTCAGGTCCTCAGACAGTTCTCGTCTCCTCTTTCTGTTGTCCATGCTTAGTGTGGCACAGACAGACACACAATGCAAAGGTTAAGTGAACGTCTCTCCTTTTTATCTGCTTTCAGGTGTGATTTCTATATTGCCCACACCTGTACTTGCCCCAGGTGAGTTTACAGGAGCATCACATGCTTGTAACATTTATTATTTATCCGCAGTTGTGAAAGGGTGCCAATACTTTTTGTCCAGCCCATTTTTGGAGGTTTGTGTGACATTATGTCGAATTTGCTTTCTTTCCTCCCTTTTTTTGGTTTTTGTCCCAATACACACAAAGGGAATAAACATGTGTATAGCAAAAACATGTGTTAATGCAATACGTTTCGTGAGAAATACATGATTTCCTGAGAAATATCAAGGGTGCCAACAATTTCGGCCATGACTGTATATACACACAAAAACAAAATGTTCATGTACATAATAATAAAAAGTAAATATATATATATATATATATATTAATATTTATATATTTATAAATATATAGTGTATATGCTGTACACACTATAAATAAAATCTTAAATGAACTTGTATATATATATATATATATATATATAATATATTTTATATATAATTGTCTATCATGATATTGTTATTGCTAAATTGTCTATCTATCTATCTATCTATTTCTATCTATCTATCTATCTATATATAGATAGACAATTATCATGTAACTGTGATATATAAATATACATATATATTATATATATTTAGTGTATATGCTGTACACAATATGATAAAATCTTATATGAACTTGTGTATATATATCTATATATATATATATATATATATATACATATATATATTTATATATCATAGTTACATGATAATTGTCATAAATTATATATATATATATATATATATATAGATAGATAGACAATTATCATTATAACTATTATATATATATATAAAATATATGTATATATGTATATTATATATATATATATATATATATATATATATATATAAGATTTTATTATATTGTGTACAGCATATACACTATATATATTAAATATATATATATTATATATATATACACACACACATAAAAAAAAACCTTCCAGAGCTTAAGTGGATATACAGTATATAAATAAATGAATATATATATAAACACTTATCATTTAAAAATTATATATATATATAGGTTCATGTAAGATTTTATTATATTGTGTACAGTATATACACTAATTATATACACTTTTGTCTATCCTAGATTGTAAGCTCGAAAGAGCAGGGCCCTCAATCCCCTCATGTTTTTGATTGTATTGGTATTGTTCTGTCACATGTTCTGTCCCCCCTTTGTAATGTACAGCGCTGAGCGTAACTATTGGCGTTTTATAAATATGTATATATAATAATAATATATATATTATACGCACACAAATGTATATCCAATTAAGATTGGAAGGATTTAACCCCCTTCCTGACTTCCTGACCAGCATTTTTTGCCTATTTAAACACTCAACTATTTTAAACCGGCAATCGTGTGGTCATGCAACGCATATACGTGAAAGATTTTGATGTCATTTATTTTCACACAAATACAGCTTTGGTGGTATTTGAATTCACTACTGTGTTTGTATATTTTTTATTATCTGAAAAGACCAAATATTTGATACAAAAATATTAGTTCTACTTTCTGTTTAAAACATATCTATTAAAAAGGAAAAAAAATCAAATTGTTTCATAAAGTGTAGTCAAAAATGTTTTTTGATAGCACATGTCTTAAATGGTAAAATCTAAAAAACAAAAAACAAAATAAAACATTTCTCCTCGATTTACGTGTATATTAATTGGTTTTGTGTAAAAGTTATAGAGTCTACAAACTAGGGTATATACCTTTGTATATTGGAAAAATTGATCAATTATGATGTACTGAACGGCTGATTTCTCTATTTCTTGAGGCCTAAAATGCCAGGATAGTAAAAAATACCCCCCAAATGTTTAAATCTTTTTTAGAAATTAAACTGGCCAAGGTATTTTGTAAGAGGTATGGTGAGTTTTTTTAAATTGTAATTTTTTTTGTTACTTTTTTTGAAAAAATTAATTTTAAATAAAAATGATTTTTTTTTATATTTCTGTCGCCAGAGTGCAGTACAGCATCATCATATGACTGATGACTGTATGTAATAAAAGTATTGTATATTTTTTCTTCTTACTTTCATCAGAATATTTTTTTTTTTTTATTCACTTCAATATGCTGTTACAGTGGAGTTCACTATTTTTCAAAAAGGCGGGGAGGGATAGGGGGTAGAGAAAGGGGATCGTGGGGCCTAGGAAAAAAATGGGGAGGTGTCGAGGGAGGGGCGTAAATAAGGGGGGGAGACCTCCGCTCCCTCTTAGCTGCCAACCCACCTATCGCCCACTGAACACAGTCATAAATGTAAAGTAGTAGTAATCTTTCTTCGCTATTTTTTCTCTTCACACTTGACTTTTTCCAACTGCCAATTGCCCCTATATAGCGTTTTGACAAGCGTTGGTACGGCGTTTGAGGGGCAGTTTCAAGTCGCTGCAACACAAATGCTTGCTCCGCGGTTTAGCGGTGGTTGCTAGGCATTTGCTTTGAAGCGTTTAAAAACGCCCCACAAATGCCTATAATGAAGTTTGAATGCGTGTTAACACGCATCCCACAATCCACGTCGCAACCACATCTCTTACAATGGCACCATAGACTTGAATAGGAAGCTTCGCGAACTCTTTTTATTTTGGGACTCGACTCAGCAGGCGTCCGTTTTGCCGCGCGCTATGTAACACTATGTGCTGACAAT